TGTTGAGAATGTTACAACAGTTCTGTTGGTTGAGTTCAGACACATGTTCATGGCGGCAGCGGTTCAAGGGTGGTGGTATCTAGTCACGGGGTCATAGAAATAACGTCTCACACAGGAGCCATGGGGAGATCTAGAATGCCCTACCAATGGTACTGGGACTGGTTTTAAACTTTGGTGTTATAGTGGTAGACCCCACAGAGCCCTCTAGCAATGCCCAGTCCTTGGACAGGTGCATTTTAGAAGTGGCAATCTTTCAAGTACTCTGGCTCCAAGCTTTCAGAGTGAAAGTGCTTAGCCAGATTCTCCTCATTTAGTTCCTTCTCAGACACAAAGGAGCAAATTCTCCTTCCCTTATCAACTATTTAGAGAGGTTTGCTGTTACTATTCATATGAATTTGGTGATGTCTTAAGTTACCATTAGAAACATGTCCTTAAAGAGTATCCTATTTACTTGAATGTAATGCTCACATTTTTTGGCAAAATTATCTTGCCAAAATTTACGTGTGCATTAGATTCACATAATACGGTCATCTTAGTGTTGAGCCAAAGCCAAAGGGAAAGCTGCTTCAGGAGCTGCACCTGGAGGTCTTCTTTGAAGGACCCTGTCCCTCGTTTAATGGCCATGGCTCAATGCTATGCAATTTTGGGATTTGTAGTCTGGTAAGACATCTGCATCCTTTGGTAGAGAAGGCTCAAGCCCTTAACAAACTACAGGTCCCATGACTCCATAGCATTGAACCAAGGCAATTAGAGTGGATTCCTTCTACAGCATAGATGCACCCCAAGGTTTCCTTTTCCATTGCTGGAAGCTTTGGTGTTCTAATACTTTTGTTTTTAAAGAAGGAATTCTAATCAGGCAATAACTGGATGACCATCTGTCTGGGGTGCTTTGATTGTGCTTTTCCAGCACAATCAAATGTTGGACTATATTGCCCATGTGGTCCCTTCCAACTCAATGATGTTATTTAGTGCAGCTTGGTGCGCATGGATCATGCTCACTTTACTGCTGATTTGGCTGCATTTTCTCCCCCAAACAGAAGCTTTTCCTGCTGAGGAGTTCCAGCTGTGAAGAAAAGGGCTTAAAATAGCAGCAGAAAATACTGGCATCCCTTCTGTAAAGGAACATATCTGAAATGTAATAGTTAAATTTCAAAGAGTGCACTTTTTGCTGATCTGCATTGTATTGAAAATTGAGGCGCGCATTACATTCAATGGCATATTAGACTCAAGGAAATATGGTTATATTTGTCTGACACCCAGGCCACATGTGCTTGACCTCAGACATCCCCAACAGTTACAGTTTACTGCTTGAGATGTAGAACAGTTGTGGGGCTCCTTCACTTTATCCCTTTCACTAAAACTCTACACCTCAAAGACCACCCAGCAGGGTCCCATCAATCTCAGTGTGGCCAATCGCTGTTTGAATTGGTGAGGCACAACAACCTTTTTGATCGGAAATCCCCATATAGAAAATCTAGGAATCCACCAGCTGATGATTTCATGGGAAGGAAGCAGCATGACCCTCTGGGGAAACCTAGGAGGGAAGACTTGTGTCGAGAGACCTGAGTTCAATAAGTTTAGGTAAATGTACCTAACTGGTTCCCTTTTCAGTCAGAGATTGAATGGGCAGTTTCTAATCAAGGTGCTTTTTTAAAATAAGTAACCCAGAGAAGGAATTAGCTGTAAGCTTTGCTGGAGACAGAGACCTGGCATTTGGCTGAGGGAATTCCTCATGCCGACTGTGGGCAAGTTATAATGGCATGACACAAAATGCGACGTAAGAGATCGGCCTCCAGATAAGTGGGAAGGAGCCCTTTCTGCACGAAGGTATGGCTGTGTTTGAGTTGGAAGCTAATAATAATAATAATAATAATAATAATAATAATAATAATAATCTTTATTTATACCCCGCCACCATCTCCCCAATGGGGACTCGGAGCGGCTTACATGGGGCCAAGCCCAGACAACATATTACAACAAAATAAAACCAGAGCATAAACAACAAACAACATCATCAGATTACATCAAGAAAGAAAAAAATTATAAACACAGTCATAAAATAACATTCCAACAGGCACAATCATAATAACAATGGGTGGGCCACATATACAGGATAAAAACTATTCTAAGACTAATGAGATAAAAATAGGAGCAAGTTATGTGCAGGGAACTAGTAATAACATACATAGTTGTGAAGCTAAACTTCCCATTTGGAGGGCGTGTATCCCAGTGGGATGAGTGTTGAGGGATGCGATGGTGTCATATTGTGCACCTACTCGCCAAAGGCGCAGCAGAAGAGCCAGGTTTTAAGATTCTTTTTGAATGTTTCTAGAGAAGGGGCTTTCCTGATCTCTCCAGGTAATGAGTTCCAAAGTCAGAGAGCCACAGAGGAGAAGGCTCTCTCCCTTGTGCCCACAAGATGAGCTTGTGAGATTGGTAGGGGTGAAAGGAGGGCCTCCCCCGAAGATCTAAGAGCCCAGGTTGGTACGTGGAGAGATGTGGCAGAGACCAGATGTTCCCCTTGGTCCTGGCATCAAACTCCCTCAAACAACTTGTGCCTGATCTGAGCTATTGAGGAGAGTACATTGTCTCCATCTTTATCCCCAACATTTGCCAAGTTAGTGGAAGGTGGGAAACGCTGGCCTACCTTTCTGGTGGAGGGCTTCCTCTGAAAGTGCTAGTTTACTTGTGAAGCCTGGGAAGAATGCAAAAGGAAGGTGAAGGTGTCCACTCACAATCATTGGAGGAAACAGTTGGGATTTGTCTCCTTGTATCTTGGCTTAACATCAAAAGGAGAGGACACATCGGGCTCAGACTTAGCCCATGCGCTAGAAACACCCCCTCATCTGTTTTAATGCTTCATAGACTTTCAATACAGGTTCAGTATCCCTGATCCAAACTGCTTGGGACCAGATTTCAGATTTTTTTGGATTCTGGAATACCTGTATTTGCATATACATGTGTAATGAGGTACCTTGGAGACAGGATCCAAGTCTAAACATTAACTTCAGTGTATGTTTCATATACACCTTATATCTCTGAAGGTTATTTTACACATATTTTCAGTGATTTTGTTCATTTAACAAGGTTTGTGACTATGGAAGCCATCAGAAAGTGAAGATGCCACTCTCTCAGCTATCCATGGGGACAATTTTGGATTTTGGGATAATTCCAGCTATGGACCTGTAGTCTGTTTTTCTCTGTTTTTGGTCTTAGATCATTTTGATTTTATTCTAAGCTAGCTTGTGTTTTATGCTTATGTTGCATTTTATAGTTTTGAAATATTTTCAGTGTGCGTTTTGTCGGTGGCGGGTGTCCAAATGTAGTAATTAAATGAGTAAAAATATTGCCAGACGGTTTGGGAGCCAGGTGGGTATCCCTCCCAGAGATATATCAGCAGTTGAGCCTCATATGAATGGAGGAACTTTCACGCACATTACGCAGCCCAAAATGTAAAAATTGAAAGCATTTCGGAAAATTGCTTTATCATATGTCAAACTGGATTTACCCCTTCCAGAAGACTGAATAGTTTACTAATCTAGGTGGTTAAGGCAGGTGGCAGAGAAATGGTAACTAATTTATCAACAGCTGTACGCCTATCTGTTGTTTATTTCTATTGTTTTGCCATTCTCAGAGCAGTTTTATAGCGGCATCTGCTTGCCTGGTGCCCACCATTTGTCTCAGACGACCACATTCTTGCTTTCCAATTCTAGCCAGGGTACTGGTGAAACTGGTTGGGAATGATAGGAGTTGTAGTGTCACACACCAAGAACACAGTTGGCACCAGATTGGGGGATGTTGAGACATCTTGACCAGAGCTGATGGGAGCTGGGATACAGGAACATCTGGAAAGCTGCAGTTTGTTCTGTTTAGCCAGGAGAGTGGGGTCTGAATTTAGACATAAGCTTAGGGATATAATGTCTGACTTTAACATGTCTTTTAACCTTTCCCCGTTCTCAGAGCTACAAGTCTGTTGGGTTGCAATCCCCATTATGCCCATCCTGAATGGTGGATAATCAAAAGTGATAGGAGTTGTTATTCAATAACATCTGGGCACCGAAACTGGGTAAAATCTAAAGAGCACCCACCACTATGTAAAAATCCATCTTTAGCCACGGATTCCCCATCCCTGAATTCAACGGCCTTTGAAGGCCACCCTAAGGCTGATGTTGCCCTCCATGAAAATGAATTTGACACCCCTGTCCTAGGCCTAGAATAGCTGCATCAATAGGAGTATAGAGATGGGCAAAAAGATTGGATATTTTGGAATCTTTTCCCCCCCTCTCACAGAAACCATATTTCCAAAATACAGGGTGAGGCAACATAACTTCCTTTTTTCAAAACTTAATAAAACCCATTGTATGAATCAGATTTTTTTAATAATGTAGGCGTATACCTAAAGTTTTGATTTACGTAGTTTTGAAGATCAAATTAGGTAGGCGACGTCCCCCATTCTCCATACACTGAGTAAACCGATTTCTGGTGTTTGTCATGACTCTTGCCAGCATAGCAGGCATTATGTTGGCAATTTCTTCCTGGATGTTGGTCTTCAAATCTTGTCGGGTTCTTGGACGGTTTAGATAAACATAGGATTTCAAAAAACCCCATAGAAAAAAATCACAAGGGGCCAAATCTGGAGAGCGGGCCAGCCATTCCAAATCCGCTCGAAAAATAGGCCTCAACGGCAAAGGCACGCTCCTCAATGTTCCAACGCATGATGGCGACTGTGTCAGGACAACACTTTATACTCCCGCCTCTTGAACGAGACCACTAGCTACGTCTTCAACTGACTGAATGGCGCGCATTTTAAAAAAGGAAGTTATGCTGCCTCACCCTGTATATAACTGGCCCTAATACCCATGGGGTGGTCTCTTTTTCCCTTTGTTTTAATAACAGTCCTGACGTTGATGTTTTCAGGAGGCCAGAGTGACTGCCAATATGTGTGTGTGTATATATATACTCAGTGGCTTTCTATAAGTGTTCCCTTCTTGTCTTTCCAGTGGTCCTTATTGGGGACTCAGGAGTTGGCAAGAGCAACCTCCTCTCCCGCTTCACTCGCAATGAGTTCAACCTGGAAAGCAAGAGCACCATCGGGGTGGAGTTTGCGACGCGGAGCATCCAGGTGGATGGGAAGACAATCAAGGCTCAGATCTGGGACACGGCAGGGCAGGAGCGGTACAGGGCCATCACCTCTGCGTAAGTGATGTGGTTGGGGAGCTCTACCATCTTGTTTTGTATCATCAGTTTGAACACTACCGTCCCCAGAGCACTCTGTTGGGTCTTGGCTGAGGCCAAAGTTAGGTCAGAAGCTTCCTTTGGGGGGGGGGGGGAATAATAGGATTCTAGAGTTGGAAGAGACTCCAGGGGCCATTTAGTCCAACCTCCTGCCATGCATGAAAAGTAGAAAGCCCACCCACTCTGACAGATGACCCTCTATCCCCTATTTCAAAGCCTCCAAAGAAGGAGCCCCCACCGGACACTGTTCAGTAGTGAGTTCCATTGTTGAACAGCTCTTCTTACTACCAGGAAGTTCTTCCTAATGTTCAGGTAGAATTTCCTTCCCTGTAATTTGAACTCGTGGCTCCATTGAGTCCTAATTTCCAGGGCAGCAGAAAACAAGGCTGCTCCCTCTTCCTTATGATAGTCTTTCAAATATTTATATGTGACTATCATGCCTCTCTCTGTCTTCTCTTCTGCAGTCTAAGGATAAAAAGTAGGACTTCATTTTTTCCTTCTGGGTGTTTGTTTTTGAAACAACCTCTAAAACCAAACAGTGACAAAACCAGAAATCTGTAGGGCTTTTTAGGAAGCTGTTATTACAGATGTGGTGACAGATTCTCCTCTCAGGGCAAGGACAAGCCAGGCAGGTTGAAGCTGCAGCCAGGCAGAAGCAGGCCGTGCTCACGTGGGGAGTTTACCAATAGCTCTTAGCAATAGTTAGTAGTCATGTGCATTCGGGCCAAAAGGCATACCAGTTTTGGTTCTGTTTCTGTCAGATCCTTCACTTCGTTTACCAGAAAGTTACCTGAAATGGGAAGGGTGTTTTCCATTTTATTTGGCAGAGATTCAGCCCATTGTCTACAATGGGAAACTTAAAAAAATATTTGTAATTATTTTATTATTTAAAAATAAAAATAAAAAAATACATAGGGGAAACTGTAAAGGCTCAGTCCTCAGCCATTTTAAGCCCTATCTGCATGAAACCTACCTCAGTTGTAGACCCCATTTACGACTGCAGGCTTGCCAAGTTTCAAAACAATTCACCAGTCTACTGATTTTTTAGAATTATTTTAAGTTTTAACCATAATGTTTTTTAAAATAAGACAAACCTCAAGAGAGGGTTCTGGGAATTGTAGTCGCCGGTTGTGTCCATTCTCAGCCAATCAGAGAACAGACACCACCAGACTTTTTATTGACTGAGAGACAGGGTGAAAAACTTAAACTCCCTTCATGTTCCGAGAGAAACTTTCAATGGCCACCCTATGCTAGTGCCACTGGGAAAGCGAATTCTAAGGGCCCTTTCTGGAAGAGGAGGAAATTTTCCAAGAAAAAAAAAAGGAGGAGGCTTCTTTTGCTGGGGAGGGGAAAAGACGCCACAGATCCCCCTGCCTCTGGTATTTTGTGGACTTGTCTCTTTCCGAAAGTATCGTCTTTTAAAATTTGTTTCACTCGTCTTTTTTGCATCTCTTCCCCTTTCTGGTTTCGGAAATCACATGAAAATGGCCATCTGAATACTACAAATCTTTTAGTTAACAGTGATTAGATAACAGTTAGTTTTCAGTTTTATGTGGTGAAAGAGAGAGTTGCTGCTCTGAAGCCTTTGAGCTCCCCCCATTCTCACTAGGGCTTGTGTGTGCCTCCCCATAGCTATTACCGTGGGGCCGTGGGAGCCTTGCTGGTGTACGACATCGCGAAGCACCTGACCTACGAGAACGTGGAGCGGTGGCTGAAAGAGCTGCGGGACCACGCTGACAGCAACATCGTCATTATGCTGGTGGGCAACAAGAGCGACCTGCGCCACCTGCGAGCCGTTCCAACCGACGAGGCACGAGCCTTTGCAGGTGCTGCATTTATTTCTACAAAATTTGAATACTGCGGCATCCAGGTGTGGGAGGGCCTTCCTGCCACATTTGGATGCCCCCTGGGTCCCTAAGGAGTAAAGCAAAAAATGTATTAAGAGTTTTTTGTCCCCCAAACGACCTCTACATGGCAAGAGGGCAATTCTACCACGTGGGCCTCAAAGAGGACGTTTTGGAAAGACCCTCAAACATGATGAACCCCTCCTTGCCCCATAGGGAGCATTGGAGGGGGATAGTTGTGGGTATTTTGTGAGATTTATTTATCGTGTCAAAAGCGAGTTGAGGGTACAGTTAACATGTATTTGAAAACACAAAGTTTAAAAACTTGGCATGATGCTAAATGTGCTTTACCAGAAGCTGACCACTTGGAGTGCCTCTGGTGTCGCTATAAGGAGGTCCTCCATTGTGCATGTGGCAGAGCTCAGACTGGATTGTAGTAGGTGGTCTGTGTTTTGCTCTCCTCCACACTCACATGTTGTGGACTCCACTTTGTAGTTCCATTTCTTAAGGTTAACTCTGTATCTCGTGGTGCCAGAGCGCAGTCAGTTCGGTGTCTTCTAAATTGCCCAATTGTCTGTGTGTCCAGGAGGGAGTTTCTCATCTGGTCTCAGCCACTGATTAAGGTGCTGGGTTTTAACCTGCCATTTTTGGATTCTCGCTTGCTGATGTGTTCCTGCGAGTATCTCTGTAGATCTTAGGAAGCTGTTTCTTGAAATGCTGGCCGATATCTGAAGAGAGGATGGACCAGAGATGTCACTATCTTGGTCCTTTCTTTACAGGTTGCTACTTCCTGACTGGTGTCAGGTACAATACTGGCTAAACAGTATTAATTTCTCCAGTGGTGTGGGGCATAGACATCCTGTGATAATGCAGCATGTCTCATTAAGAACTGCATCCATGTTTTAATGTGGTGAGATATGTTCCACGCTGGGTATGCATATTCAGCAGCAGAGTGGCAAAGCGCAAGGATAGATGTCTTGCACTGTGTCTAGTTGTGATCCCCAGGTTGTGCCAGTCAGCTTTTGAATGATGTTATTTCTGGCACCCACTTTTTCCTTGATATTCAAACAGTGCTTCTTGTAAGTCAGAGCACGGTCCAGAGTAACTCCCAGGTATTGTGTTTGTGCTGCAATGCTCCAGTGAGATTCCTTCCCAGATAATCCTCAGAGCTCGAGATGCTTGTCTGTTCTTAAGATCAAAAGCAAACACCTGCATTTTAGATGGGTTAGCAATCTATGTTTTGAGAGAGGGGCTAACGTGGCCCCATGATATCAGTGCCCATAGGAAGCCATGAGTGTAGTTGCACCCTTTATTTCATAAAGAAGTGGTATGCTGCCATTCTGCCTGGTAGCCTCCAGCCATTTGTGTAACCCCTTTCTAAACCTTTTAAGGGGGCAGCATCTTCTTCCAGATGGCTTTTTGGCATTTGGCTGCTCAGGATCTCAGAACGGATAGCAGCCCCAAAAAAGTTGCCTTTCCTAAATGTAGCACTCTCTTCAGTTGTATTTTCTGTGGCCTGTTATATTAAGACTAATCCTTGGCAAGGTAGAAGGCATTGGGAAAAGGCTGCCTTCCAGATGGATGGACTCAGTCAAGGAAGCCACATTCCTGAGTTTGCAAGCTGCGGGTGGAGGTCGCCCTTGACTGCAGTTAACACCAACATATTGATCAAGAGGGATGTGTGCATGTGTTTGCATGTGAGTGAATGTGTGCACATTTTTAATTAAATGGGAGCATGTTCCCCCTCCCCATGGTCAGGAGTAATTACGGCTGAAATCATTGGCCTGGCCATAAATCTGAAAGGTTTTCAGGCTCCCTTCATTCTGCCCTGGAATGTGTCTTGCATTTTTTTCCACTAATCATGATTAAAAATGCTTGATTTATGTCCCTTGCTGCCACTGAAGACTTCTGGGGGAAGGGAACGCTGGCATTTCCTGGCTCCCCTCCCAAAAGAACATCTTCCTCCCTTTTCATTGCATCAAAGGTGCAAATTTATAATATTTCTCCAGGCTGCCTCCTCTTTTGTCAGGTGACGCTTGGCTTAATCACTCAAGGAAGCAGGAACAAGAGGAACTTCAGCAGGAAACCTTGAAGCAGAGCCAGCTTTGTTCTCTCTTTTCCTCTCGTTTCAACCTTGCTTGTCTGGGAAACAGAAGGAGGCCAGATTCATGGGGCTACACATTGTATACAACAGCTCTCCTTAACTGTAAAAGAAGGCGGACCTGAGAGGATTCAAATACATAAGTAAACTGGTCTGGAAGGGAGAGAGATCCAGAGATTTACAGACGTCATTAATGGGATTTCCATATTTAAAAATGCTTATAATCCAGTTAACATCTCTCCTCAAACTATGTAGAAGTATCACAAACTTGTGCAGTGAAAACCCTAATATCTAGATGTCTAAATTCCAAAATAAGTTTGCTACCGGGCCCAATTCAAAGTGCTGGCTTTGGCCTATAAAGCCCTAAACGGTTCTGGCCCAACTTACCTGCCCAAACGTATCTCCCCTTATGAACTACTGAGGACTTTAAGATCATCTGGGGAGGCCCTGCTCTCGGTCCTGCCTTCATCACAAGCATGTTTGGCTGGGACGAGAGACAGGCCCTTCTCAGTGGTGGCCCCTCAGCTGTGGAACGCCCTCCCTAGGGAGATCAGATCTGCTCCCTCCCTCTTGATGTTTCGGAGGCAAGTTAAAACGTGACTATTTAAGCAAGCGTTTACAAATATGCTTGAGAATAATGAGACGCTGATGATGTTGTTTTTATTGCTTTTGTGATGTCAGTTTAATGGTTTTTATCTATATTATTTTTTATATATACTGATTTGTTGGAAACCGCCTTGAGTTGCCAATTGGCTGAGAAAGGCGGTATACAAATACAGTAAATACATAAAATATTAAATAAATAAATAAATAAATAAATAAATAAATAAATAATCTAGATGTCTAAATTCCAAAATAACCCCTTTCTCAAAATCAGAGTTTTTAGTTTAGGATCTGGTTTGATTCATCACTTAGCTCAGGATGAGTACATAAGCAGTTGGTCTAAGATCAATTCTAAGAAAGCCCCTCCATCGACCTTTCTGCATCTCTCCTAACTTGTCTGGATTTTGACATGGCTCTCAAATCAATCAAACAGAGCTGCGCTTTGTGAGCTGCGCTCTTGCTCTTACGTATGTTCCTCCCCTAGGGCCCTGTCCATACATTATGTTGGGCCTTTCCACGCAGCAAACTGTCTAAAGAACTTGACTGTGGCCAAATACTGCTGCCTGTTTTTCCAAGCAAGCTGCAATGTGCTCCTGTCTGAATTTCTGCGTGAGAGATTTGGGGTATCCCATACAATGAAAGACTCTGCCCATGTAACAAATAGGAAGTATAATGCATCTACCACATTCTACTGTCATGCAGTTTCGATGAACAGGCCTGAGCACACATAATCATCCCTGTGCTAAGAAACTTACTAGCGAGTCCAGTGAAATTTTGTGTGAAGTTTCTACTAAGTGACAACCTTCCCCAAGTGACCTTGGTGGTTGCCAAGTTTCTTTCTGAGGCAGCCAGGATTAGACAATTCCCAGTTTTAGACACAGGCTGAAACGCGCCTACACTTCTTGTGGTCTTGTACCTATGTTTTTAGCAAACTGTTGTAAATGTTGTCCATTTGTGTGTTTAATCAACCGGATGTTCTTAATACCTGCATACCTTGTACACCTAGGGTGCAATAAGGGTCTTTGGACCACAATAAAATGTTGTTGTTGGAGACCCAAACATTGGATATTGCTATTAACTCCAAAGAATACTGAATGAAGTATTTGGAATGGAATTCCATCCCCTTCTTTATTATAATTCTCTTCCATTAAAAAAAACAGGGTTGGGAGCCAAATGAGGAAGGAAAGAGAAGTCCTGCTTGTGGGCTGCAGAGAAGCCTCATTTGATATCCTTAGTAGTTGCAATAATCCCATGTGGGCAAGAAAGGTGAGGGAAAGGAGGTTACCTCTAAGTCACCATTTCCCCTCGTTGGCTCAGGAGTTGTGAAATTCGTTTGCCTTCATAAACAGTCCCATCGATTGAGTGTTCTTCTCTGTGCTTCCCCAGCTCTTCTTCCTTTTGTGGTTCTCAACCTGGGGTCCCCAGATATTTTTGGCCTACAACTACCAGAAATCCCAACCAGTTTACCAGCTGTTAAGATTTCTGGGAGCTGAAGGCCAAAAACATCTGGGGTCCCCAGGTTGAGAACCACTGTTCTAGGATCAAATGGCCTGAGATGGGGTTGTGACAATTGCTGAATTAATATCTTTCTCCCAGCTGAGAGGAGAGTGCACCCGCACTGCCTGGGGAGCTCTGTTTTGACTTGCCAGGGGATGCACAGCACGGGAAATGAATGGTTATTGAAGGTGATGTTTTCGTAGCTTCCTGGAGAGAATACTGCGCAGTTTGTCATTGAGAAGCTTTTGCACTGCAGTCAAGTCAGATCTGTGGGTTTTTTCCCCACTTACTAGGCTCTAAGAAAGGCAAACAGTGATGCCAAAACACGACGCAGGGCTCATTTGGCTGTTAGCATCAGCAATGCTTTTAGATTTCAATTTTGGCACTGAGGATTTTGGCTCTGTTTGTTGGGTTAACAATTGGATGTGAGGGTCACAGTGTCATTGGACAAATGGAAGCATCACTTAGTGAATTGGTTGGCTAATGAACAGACAAACCCAGACCAGAGTTGATTCTGTGCATAAGGGAGCTGGTAGGCAGTGAGGCCACATGGAAAAGGTAGTGGTTGTTATAATTGTATGTGTTATTGTGTTATGCTTGTGCACTGTTTTATATTATATGTTGCACTTTAGAGTGCCTTTGTAAGCTGTTCTGAGTGCCTTTGGGGAGATGGTGGTGGGATATAAATAAAGTTTATCATTATTGTTTATTAAGGTATTAAAATGGACAGGCTGGAGGAAAGCGTCACAGAACAAAAAATAAAAGTTCCTTTTATTGAGGCCACTCTATTAGCCTGTGGCCTGAGTGATCCATTGGGTGCTTTCCTTGCTGATCAGCTTCCCCTTTTTCCCACAGAAAAGAACGGTTTGTCCTTTATTGAGACTTCGGCTCTGGACTCAACGAATGTGGAAGCTGCTTTCCAGACCATCCTGACAGGTGCGTTGGGTCCTTTGGGTGGGAACCTTCTTGCTCTTAGAGCTGGGCGCAATTGGGGGGGGGGGGCAGCCACTGCCTTTGGGCTTGGCTCCTGGCTTGCTTCACTGATAGCAGCAGTGAAACAGCACGGTCCTCTCATGTCACCTCCATGTTTTCCCAGGAAAGAGACCCTGTTCAGTCCATCTGGTTACGAGAGTGACATGGATTGAGTTTTTCTATAGAGCAGATATTCTCTTTGAATGTTACTATATCACTGTAAGCCACCTCTGATGTTAATGTAGTGCCTCCTGAGGTGGCTTGGTTTGCAAAGAGACTGACTGTAAACACCTTCCGGTTTCATGGAGGGATGACACTGCTGTGCCTCTGTTTACATGTTGAAATGTGTTTCTAAGGCTGCCTCACCAGATACTTGTAGCTTGATGAGTTGTAACTGTTCCCACCAGGCCTGCTGATCTGCCAGTGATCTGCCTTTTATTTATTTGGGTAATGGTGGTGCAGAACTTGTTGACTGAAAGGTTGGCGGCTCAAATCCAGTGAGCAGAGGGAGCTACTACTGTTAGCCCCTAATTCTGCCAACCTAGCAGTTCGAAAACATGTAAATATGAGTAGATCAATAGGTACTACCACTCTAGTGGGAAGGTAATGGTGCTCCATGCAGTCATGCTTACCACATGACCTTGGAGGTGTCTATGGACAACGCCGGCTCTTCAGCTTAAAAATAGAAATGAGTACCATCCCCCAGAGTTGGACACAACTAGACGGGAAATTTTTTACCTTTTATTTACTTAGGTATGCCTTAAATAATCAACACGGGTCCCTGCTGGCAAAAGGACAAAGTGCTGGCGCTATTTGCAAGACAGCATTTGTGTTTCCTGAACATCTTTTAGATAACAGAAATAATGGCCACATTGTACCAAGAAAGGTTGGGGTGGGATCTCTGTTTTTGTATTAAGAAGAAGAACACTCAGTGAGTTCCAGCTGTGTACAAATAGGATTTCTGGGCGGGTGTCTGTTTAGACCTGAAGTCCATAACAGAGGGACCGACCATTGGGAGGGTGCTGTTTCTGTAATAACCAGGCTTTCCCCCCATTTTAGAGATCTATCGCATCGTGTCGCAAAAGCAGATGTCCGACAGACGTGAGAACGACATGTCTCCAAGCAACAACGTGGTCCCCATTCACGTCCCCCCGACTACGGAAAACAAACCAAAGATGCAATGTTGTCAAAATATATAAACACGTCCCGTTCCTGGAAAGCTGTGTATATTTCCCCAGGCCCAAGATGGAAATAGATCTTGAGTTCACATTGGCCTTTCTTCCCCCCACTCCTTCTGTCATTCTTGTCTATCCTATTTTATTTTTCTTCCCAGTTTTCTCCATGTCTTAACGCTTTCCCTTTTTTTCACCTTTGATTCCAGTGTCATGAGCCATCCATCGTTTGCATGTGGCTGCAGCCTTATCAGAATGCCAGTCCTGGCAGGGCAGTTTTTAGAAATCATGACAAGATTGCCTTTCCAAATGCGTGGGTCGATTCCTAGTGAGGTCTAGATTAAGTTGCAATAACCTTTAGTGAGCATGACATGCCTGAAAGCAAGAGTAGATGATAGGCCCGAGTCGTTTAAGTCACAAATATCAGAGGCTGAGTGTCCCTTTCAGTCACAAATATCAGAGGCTGAGTGTCCCTTTGAGCAGTGTATTGGCTTATTTCATGGCACCCGTCAGCACCCCCCACTTCCAATAGCTGTGGTTTCTTGACACAGCATTGGGTCCTGCTTCCGTGGGCAGAGTTTCCCAACTCTTTGCAGGCACATTTGGGTGTGGGGCCTGCAAGCGACATTCCATAAAGGGCCAAAGCAACTGCCTGCTCCCTGTGTCTTTGTTTGTCCCCCATATTGCCAATTGTATTGTTGTTGGGATGTTTTTTGTGGGGAGGCAACTTGTCACAGCACCACAGACTAGATTTAGATCAGAGTTTTATTCAGTTGCAGCAATCCAAGGGTCATCCTTGTGCAAGCCAGAGGGAGATGGCATGTTGAAGTTAGCTTTGTGTAAATTGTTATTGTGGTCGGTGGTTTCCAGGTGGAGCGGACAAGCGAGGGATTCTTTGTGTTGTGAAGTTTGCTCTGCCTGCTTCTTACGGTGATTTGTGCCGGTTGTGACTGGGCTTCTGGGCCATTTGCCACGTTGATGCTTGTTCTGCAACACAAAGAAAGCCACACAAAGTGTAGAGAATGCATTGAGTTGGGTCTTGCCTGGCCTCTCAAACCTCTACCAATCCTGTAATCCTCTTCTGAAGTGTTTCTGGTTCCGAGTTTGCCACTCGCCAGAGGTGAGGCGGCTGCTTCATCGGTCTGGCCAGTGGCACATTGGCACTTCCTCGCTTGTGTTAGGAGCCCCTTCCGCATTCATTGATATCTCTATGTGCCTCCATGGTGCTCTCCAGAGCAATTCTGTGTCTTTGATTTGCAGCAGACTGTGGTTGCGCCTTTCCTAACGCACTGTCCAAGTGAGGGGTGTTCTCTGGAATTTGGAAAGCCGGGTTGAAACCTGAAGAGGAAATGGCTCCCTTGAGAGGAGAGGAAGGAAGCTTATTGCAAAGAGGTGGCCGGCCGGCACAGAGCGTGCCCTTGCCTTCCTGCCGCCTGAGCCAGCCGGCCTTGCGGTGCCCATGACGTGTGAGGCGCACAGAAGGCATTGCTGTAGTCCCTTCACCTCCCTTTTGCGCTCCCTGTTGTGTTTTTATTCATTTCCACACCCAATCCCTTTTCTCTAATCTTTCTTTTCTTTTGTAAATTGCTTTGTACTGTATGCACATCCTGTACCTTGAATATTTTTTAAGGATTGAGTTAAAGCTATTCATTATTGGAAAAATTCTAATAAAAGAATCGTAGGGGACTGTTTGGTGGTTGTAGAGTGGACTTCTTTGGAGTGGCGCTGTCAGGTATCTGGTGACAAAGGTCATTGCACTTAAGGTTTATGCAGCGGGTTATTACAGTAGACATTCTATGAAACGTAGATAATTCTTGGAGTAAATAATGCAAATTGATTTGAAGTACAGATCTGAATAATGTAGTGTGCCGACTTGCATGCTTTGCCCTGGAAGTGTGCCTTTGCAATATGTTGAGTGTTGTGGGGTACTAAAGAACAGCATATTGAAAAGAGCAAAAAAATAAACATTTGTTGGGGGTTTTCAACGGCATAAGAGAGTATATGAAAGGGAAGTGTTCAGGTCTCTCTTTTCTGGGTTGCTGTGACTTTTCTGGGCTGTCTGGCCATGTTCCAGAAGCATTCTGTCCTGATGTTTCACCTGCATCTATGGCAGGCATTCTCAGAGGTCTGTTGGAAACTAGTCAAGTGAGGTTTATATATCTGCGGAAGGTCCAGGGTGGGAGAAAGAACTCTTGTCTGTTGGAGGCAGGTGTGAATGTTACAATTAATCGCTTTGATTAGCATTGTAAAGCCTTGCAGCTTCAAGGCCTGGCTGCTTCCTGCCTGGGAGAATCTTTTGATGGGAGGTGTTATCTGGCCCTGATTCATTCTTTTCTGGAATTCCCCTGTTTTTTCAGTGTTGTTCTTTATTTACTGTCCTGGTAGCCAGACTTTGTTCATTTTCATGGTTTCCTCTATTCTGTTGAAATTGTCCACATACTTGTAGCAACCAGCCAGACTTTGGAGCTACAAGGCCATTAAATGCTAATCAAAATGGCCAACTGTAACATTCACACTTGCCTCAAGCAGACAAGAGTTCTTTCTTCTACCCTGGACATCATTCCACAGATATATAAACCTCACTTGCCTAGTTTCCAACAGACCTCACAACCTCTGAGGATGCCTGCCATATGGGCAAATCATCAGGAGAGAATGCTTCTGAAACATGGCCATACAGCCGAGAAAACTCACAGCAACTCAGTTAAAGTCTCTTTTTTCTGTTGACAGGCAGGTTTTCATTGGTAGGTTTAACAAAAGACATTGGAAAAGAAGCATGTTGGCTGACAGAAATTCAGTTTTATTTTTTACAAGGTACACCACCTTTTGCGTGGTCAAGAAATATTACAAATATGTCTTGCTTTAAAAAAGTATTGCCATTACAATGTCCAGAGGTTCCTTTTTAAAGGAAGGCTCTCTCTCTTTCTCAATATATATATATATATGTATGTACGTATGTATAACATGAATGTGATTTCCATTGCCTCCTGCTAGGTGCAATGCACACTTTCTCCCTCTTCCTCCCAATTCTGGCCATCCACAAAGCCCAAGGACGGTCACCTACCTGGTGCAGTCTCAAGCGGGACAGTAGCGGAGTGTATGCATTGGTTGCAGCTAAGGAAGAGGGCTAAAAGGGTGGGCCCTTGGTGTCCCTATCTGCCTCCATCATTCCCAAGGCAGAAGAGGGACATGGTGGGCATTGCTGAAGCCCATAATGTGGCAGAGACGCAGGATGACAAACCCAAGTGTGGCAGCCTGCATGGCTCTGCTCCATCTGGGCTCAATATATGCAAACTTCCAAGTGAGATGATGCGAACACAGTCGAGAAGCTACCCTGTCTGAATACAAAGCCTTCAGGGAGGACCTTTCGCGTCGCTCGTTGTGAGGTAAGTCATCCCCTGTAATTAAAATATATATCCCTAGTGGCCCTACAAAATAAGGTTCTGCTACTTTTCTATATATATATTTTTGGATAAGGCTTTCCTGGAACGTAAAGCGGCTATTGCTGATCATCGGTCACTTTCCCCCCATGCACACATGCAGCATTCCTGTAAATAATTACATTTTCTTCTGGTGCAGTGGACAAGTCTGCTTCGCCTGGGATCTCCCTGGGTTTTGGACTGGCTCTGACAGAACGACCTCCGCAAACCCAGCCCTCTGCCACCTAGAAAGGCCCATTTCAACCAAGGGACTGAGCTTTCCTGAGTCCGCTCAGATTTCAAGGCTTCTCTCCTTTACAATTTGTAATCCTAAGCAATGGAAAGGCCTTAGGTGCCCTGGTGCAAGGCAGATGCGTTGGAGAACGGCTCCCATTAGCCCCGGCCAGCATGGCAATGGGAGGGCAGGCCCAAGGCATTTGGGGAGCAAAAGTCCAATGTACTTGAAGGATTAGGTACCATTGGTGTCAACCATACTGGGATGTTTGGACTATTTTGGGGACGGACAGAATGGTCTTAGCTAGAAGAACAATTAAAGTTGGGTTTGGGAACATTTGCCTCTTGAGAGACTTTGAATTATCATTGCTCTAACTATGGCTGAGGTTTCATTGCAAAGCCTTGCAGCTTCAAGGCCTGGCTGCTTCCTGCCTGGGGGAATCCTTTGTTGGGAGGTATTATCTGGCCCTGATTGACAATGTATACTATTTCAAATATATATCCATACATAATCAAATATAGCTGTAGTACATGTTTTTCTTCTTCTCATTAGTGTAGATTACCACAAATGCAAGGCAACATGTGTAGATCTTTTGTCTATAATACTGTATTTTGTCTGGAATTCCCCTGTTTTTTAGTGTTGTTCTTTATTTACTGTCCTGATTTTAGAGTTATTTTAATACTGGTAGCCAGATTTTGTTCATTTTCATGGAAGAACAATTAAAGTTGAGTTTGGGAACATTTGGCTCTTGAGAGACTTTGAATTACCATTGCTGTAATTATCCTGGCTGAGATTTCATTGCAAAGCCTTGCAGCTTCAAGGCCTGGCTGCTTCCTGCCTGGGGGAATCCTTTGTTGGGAGGTGTTATCTGGCCCTGATTGATTTTTGTCTGGAATTCCCCTATTTTTTGAGTGTTGCTCTTTATTTACAGTCCTGATTTTAGAGTTTTTTAAATACTGGTAGCCAGATTTTGTTCATTTTCATGGAAGAACAATTAAAGTTGGGTTTGGGAACATTTGGCTCTTGAGAGACTTTGAATTACCATTGCTGTAACTATCCTGGCTGAGGTTCCATTGCAAAGCCTTGTAGCTTCAAGGCCTGGCTGCTTCCTGCCTGGGAGAATCCTTTGTTGGGAGGTGTTATCTGGCCCTGATTTATTCTTGTCCGGAATTTCCCTATTTTTTGAGTGTTGCGCTTTTATTTACTGTCCTGATTTTAGAGTTATTTAAAAACTGGTAGCCAGATTTTGTTCATTTTCATGGAAGAACAATTAAAGTTGGGTTTGGGAACATTTGGCTCTTGAGAAACTTTGAATTACCATTGCTGTAACTATCCTGGCAGAGGTTTCTAAGCATTGAAATTCCTAACTTCCTGAGGGCACAAAGTGTCACCCAACATCTCACCTGTGTGTATATAATTTTGCTGCTGCGCCAAGCCTTTGACTGCAGCGAGCCTCACGTCTAATGTTTAGGAAATAGCACATGGAGCGTTGGAGCCTGATAGATAGCCACTGTGCTTTTGCTCTGTCCAGCAAATCTAGTTCCAACGGGACACAAGGCGCCAGGGAAAATCCAAGGGACGCACAGACGCTAATACTCCTTTCTTTGGGCCTTGACACTTACCACTTGTTCTGAGCAAGGATAGTTTCGAAGCCATTGTAATCCTTGGCGATTGCTACCAACCAAACTTTGGCTTCTTCCACCTTTTTGCATTCCACTCACAACCATAAATAGCAGGTTATACAACTCAAGCATAACGCGGAGGAACGAAACGGAGCCCAAACCACATAGTCTAGGTATGGCAGCATTGTGTTTAGGCAACGTTCCTTCTCCGCTGAAGCACCGTTTCCCTGGACTTGCGCCGGGAGCGTCACCTTGGCCACGCAGCAGAGTCCCACCTCTTTCCGAACCTCTTTTGTCTCCAAAAAGTAAAAGCACTCCTTAAGCGGGTGATAGTATTGTACAGATGCAGCAGCGGCAGCAGCGATAAGAGCTTGAAGCAAAGGGAGTCTTGAGCTCCCTCCCTCCCTCCCGCACCCCTCCAAGTTAAAAAGCAAAACCAAGTCAAGAACATTTGCATCCGGCATCGGTCTGGAGAAGTCTTTCCAACGCCGGCTGTATGCAGCACTTTCTTGGTTTTGCTGTGATCTGTATCAAAACGGTCTTGTAAAATAAGAGTTTCATGCAGAAGGAAGTTGGCCCCTAACGAGCGTCCACTTAGGTTTGGCGTACAGCGCCTTACTTTTGTTTTGTTTTGTGTTCTCCAGCAAAACGGAAAGGATTGTCGCCTCCTCTTGCATTGCATGTCCGAGAGCAGTGTGTTCATGGGGGAATGGGTCTGTTATGGGCAGCGGGACACAGGCCTCTACGACGGCGTGTCCCAGTGGGTCCCGTGGGCAGGAGGGCTGTGCCGGGTGGGAAGGACATCATAATGGCAAGGGATGTGGCTGTTCCTGGGCAGGTCGTAGGGGTTCTGGAGGTAGCCAGCGTTGCGCGGACGGATCTCGTGGACCACGCTGATTGTGGGTTCTGCAGAGGCAAGAGTAGGAAGACATTGAGTCACCTTTCCCCGATAAAGGACATGCTCAGAAATAAAACTGACCTAATAGCACTTCATGCAGACATGCTGGCCACGTGACCTTGGAGATGTCTACGGATAACGCTGGTTCTTTGGCTTAGAAATTGAGATGAGCACCAACCCCCGGAGTCAGACATAACTGGACTTAATATCAGGGGAAAACCTTTACTTTTACCTATAGAGCTGGAAAGGCTCTCTAGAGGCCCCAGTCCAACCTCTACCACTGGACACATCACACTCTCAGCTTCAGAGGAAGGGAACGGCAGATCACTTTTGAGGAAATCAGGCTAAAACTTGAAATCATGCAGTGACTGGTTGAAAGAGGGCTTTGACCAGCTAGCTTGCTTGTCTCCCATAACACAAACCCTTTTGTTTATTACACTATGTAGGAGCCCCCAATGGCGCAATGGGTCAAACCCTTGTGCCAGCAGGAGTGCTGACCGAGCGGGATGAGCTCCCATCTATCAGCTCCAGCTTCTTCAGTGGGGACATGAGAGAAGCCTCCCAGAGGATGGTAAAACATCCAGGCATCACCTGGCAACGTCCTTGCAGACGGCCAATTCTCTCACAGACGGCCAGTTTCTCAAGTCCCTCCTGACACCAAAACACACACACACACTATATAACAAGATTTTTGTTCCTGTGTTGTACATGTCATTTCCTAATTGATTCTATCATAGAAGTATGAAAGAAATATTCAACAGTAAAAGCTACGTTTTTGTGGGACATCCTGTAGCACATTTTACTCTAGTTTTTCAATAAATATCTCAACCCATTCAACCTAGTTTGCGGCAGCCACAAAAGCGAAGTTTCAGGACTAGAACATTGCGTTCAAAGTAAGGACTGCACAATTAAAGAGGAAATAACACTTTAAAACCAGGAACAGATTTATTTTCAAATTTTGTTACATGGTGGTGTTATAATTTATAATAATATTAATAAGGTTGTTATTATTAATAATAATAACAGACTCAGAAGTGGAGTAGGCAGATCAAAACACAACCTGGCAAATGGCACTACCTATAAAAATCCCCCACCTTGTGTGACTGGTGCAGAACAGACACCTCTGCATTTGTATGCTTGTCCGCAATGTCCTGTGTCATGCACAGAAGAAGAATTGTTTGAGGCTACAGACAATGCGGTCGCTGTTGCCCGTTTTGGGTCAAAAGATATTTAGCCACTTGTGCTCCTGTTTTTACCAGTTTTACACTAATTTATGCAATGCTTTTGAAAAATAAATTACAATTACTACTACTACTACTACTACTAAACAACAGAAAGCATTGGATTATTACTATTATTTGAAACATAACAAGATGAGTCCACAGCAGACAAGATCTCTCTGCTGGCTATTGTATTGGATCATACGTCAGACACTTCCCAAGTGTCTAGGACTGTGTGATGTATCGGTTAATAATACGTGCAGATCCCTTCTACAGCTGGTATATGGTAATTTTGTCAGCACCTATTGTGTTTAAGTGCAGGCCAAGGTCTTTAGGCACTGCACCCAGTGTGCCGATCACCACTGGGACCACCTTGACTGACTTGTGCCAGAGTCTTTGCAGTTCGAACTTTAAATCCTCATATTATCCTACTATCATCATCATCATCATCATCATCAAGAAGTCTAATGATTCCACACTTTGATTATAGTTAAAAAGTGAAATAGTACCATGTGGAATAAGGTAAAATACATTAAAATATGATAAATTCACAGCACTTTAGACACTGAACCCGGACCATAGGACTGTTATGACAATTGGAAAAGGCTATGTGACTTTGTGACTATGTGACTATATGACTATATGACTATATGACTATGTGATTATAATTAATGTTACTGTTTTTAACCTGCTATGTATTATGATTTCATATTGTGTTACTGATATCGTGGCATCGAATTTCTGCCTGTGTTAGCCGCCCTGAGTCCCCCCTCAGAGGTGAGAAGAGCGGGGTAGAAATGGTGTAAATAATAATAATAATAATAATAAATACCCACAACTCCCCCCCCCCCAAAGTCCCCCACACACTTCCCCAAACTTTCTTATTTTCCTCCTCACTTATTCTGATGACAGAGCATGCTCAGCCCTAGTTACCACTGCCTTTACCAAGACTTGTGACCTCTTGAACTTATGGTTCAAGGAGTGGAGTACAGAACACAGGGAGAGTACCAATTTGGGAGTACCGGCATCTTTGGTGGATACCAGGCAGTCCCGTGGACTTCGGATCCCAGCACAGATAGAGAAGCCAGATCCCAGATATGGACTCTAGTGATAGGATTGCTTTAGAATTGTCCGAAGTCGGAAACAACTTAAAGGCACACAAGAACAACAGAACTAATTCATCAAAAATTGTGCCTTTACTTGGAAAGTGAGGTGCTAAAGACCTATCTGCAACCCCAAGAGGTTTCACCTATTTAATTTCGACCCCTTCCTGCTGCCACAATGTGTAGGTGTGTTCTTTGTTTTGAAAAACAGAGTTCGATCAAGTTCTCAATTTCTTCCTCATCTTTGGTTCGGATTGCGACAAAAAATAAAACTTTGCTTCAAATGCAAATGAATGCCAGGAAGATGAATCAAGTGTTTCTCTCTCCTCCTCCGCAGCGAAAGAGTGTCAGGGCAACGTTATGGAAGAGGCACAACCAACTCCAGAATCTACTGAATAAGTATAAATGCTGCTATCCAATGCACTTTTGCTTATGAGCAAATTTTGCTGAATTCAGTTAGACCGCTTTCTTAACAGATAGAAAAGCAGGTTCTAAAAATTGCATTTATCCATTGATGGTATTTCTATCCAGTTTTTCTCCAAAATTGGAGTGGGTTTTGCCATTAGTGTTGTGCCTCCTAGGATGCTAAGGTTTCTGAATCTAGAGCAGTGCTTCTCAGCTTTCCTAATGCCGCGACCCCTTAATACAGTTCCTCCTGTTGTGGTGACCCCCCCCAACCATAATATTATTTTTGTTGCTACTTCACAACTGTAATTTTTCTCCTGTTAAGAATCTTAATGTAAATATCTGATATGCAAGATGGATTTTCATTCATTGGACCAAATTTGGCACAAATACCCGATATGCCCAAATTTGCATACTGGTTGGGTGGGGGGGAGTTGATTTTGTCATTTTGGGGGTTGTAGTTGCTGGGATTTATAGTTCACCTACAATCAAAGAGCATTCTGAACTGGAATTGAACCAAACTTGGCACACAGAACTCCCATGCCCAACAGAAAATAGTGGAAGGGTTTGGTGGGCATTGACCTTGAGTTTTGGAGTTGTAGTTCACCTACATCCAGCGAGCACTATGGACTCAAACACATGATGGATCTGGACCAAACTTGGGACAAGTACTCAATATGCCCAAATGTGTACACGGGTAGAGTTTGGGGAAAATAGACCTTGATATTTGGGAGTTGTAGTTGCTGGGATTTATAGTTCACCTATAATCAAAGAGCATTCTGAACCCCACCAACAATACAACTGGGTCAAACTTCCCACACAGAACCCCCATGACCAACAGAAAATACTGTGTTTTCTGATGGTCTTTGGTGACCCCTCTGATATCCCCCTTACGACCTCTCCAGGGGTCCTGACCCCCAGGTTGAGAAACGCTGAGCTAGAGGATGGTAGAGATCTGACATACTGAGAATTTATTAGGGAGCAGCTCCATAGTGATGCTGTATTGGAGCCGGATTAGACTGTCAGGCTGGGAGATCCAGATTCAAGCCATCATGACCTACAAACTCCTCTTCCTCTCTCCTAAGCTGACCCCACTGGGTTGCTATGAAGGTAAAACAGAGAGGAGGAGAACCAGGACCTTGAACACATATGTTGATCAGCAGAGGGCATTCTACACAGGCCCAAAACCGGTGATGGGTTGCAAGTTAACCTGAGGCATCCAAACAGCGTCTCGGTTTAATCTAGAGTAAACCAGGATTTATCAGTTTACTTGAGATTAATAAAAGATCCAGATCTTTCCAGGCACTGGACCTTGGTGGTTAACTCTCGGGACTGCCTTTCGTGATCCCAGGGAACAATCCTGTAAGAGCTTGAACGAATGGGATGGAACCCCCAAATTTCCCTCTTAGCCACTTGTTTTTCCTCCAAAATTACTGGAGGGGCCTGGCTGCATCTTCAGACCCCTCAGAGAAAGCTTCTGACTCATCAAAATCCCAGGGTTTAGAGCTGTCAATCCCAAGAAGAGCTGGGATATAGAATCCGAGTTCCTCTTGGTATTTGGGCCTGTGCAGAAGGGTCCTAGGCAAGCAACTGTGGAGCTAGCTCTCATGGGTTTCTGGAGGCACTTACCCACATCATAGATGTTCTTGTTGGCGCTTGACAAAGCTGGCGCATCCGCATACGACGAGTCCCGGTGCCCGGGGGACTTCATTTCCACGTAGCTGCTCTCAGGGTGTTTGCATGTCACAACAGGGGGGTCTTTGATGGTGGCGTAAGGGTTTTCGCTGCTGTTGAGGGAACAGGTGCTGGAGCTGCAGGCCGATTCCTTCATATAGTCTGCAAGACAAGAGCCGGCCCAGCAGCCCCTTAGCCGGCGCGCTAGGAAGCCGTGGGGAAGGGGAGAGGGTTCGGGGGGAGATCTGGCCCTCAAAGCTTCCAGCACCGTGACCCACCAGTTACGCCTCAGGTATCTCCGAACCACTGTCTCTCCAAACCATCTGCTCATCCAAACTCACTCGCAAGTCATTTCCTGAACATTCGGTAGGAAGAAAAACAGCCCTTCAGTGCCACGGCTCTCAGGGTTAAAAGGGTCTCATTGCAATTGTACAACATTGCATTCGGCCCAGCCCACCCGGCGCCCCAGAAGCCTCGCAAGGGGGAAAACCCCATTCCACTCCATGTGTGTTAAGCCCCTGAAACCATGCGCAGTTGCCCCATTTGTCTGGAACTGATCTGTTTGATGCCCAACCCTCACCAAAAAACCCAAAGCCAACCATGCGCCATTTCCCCGTCTGCCCAAAGACAGCTGTTTAACATGAAATGCAACAACGTACTGAAACGACATGTGCCAGGGATTCCCCAAAATGCATCACTCGAAGGGTGCATCTACAGGACAGAATTAATGCAGTTTTGATACCGCTTGAATGGCCATGGCTCAATACAAGGAAATCGTGGGTGTTTTGCAAGGCCTTGAACCAAACTGCAATTTCCGGGATTCCGCAGCATTGAGCTGTGACAGCGAGTCAAAACTGCATTCATTTGCATGAACAGCTATCTGTAAAGGTAAGTAGCAACACAACTGTTGGATTTTGTGATGTTAAAACAGGTCTGAGTGGAAAATGCATGGCTTGCCACTGTAGACATTTTGTGCAGCTTATGGTAGCATTAAGATCCTATATTTATTTATATTCCCTCTTCACCATTGTTCAGACAAGCATTTCGTATTTTGCAATAGCAAACCAATCCATGGTACTTTGTACTTGGGTTTAAGGCTATGCCCCATGCGTTCTTGCTTACAAGCACAGTATTATGGTCAATAGCAAAAGCACATTGCACAGTGATACAGAATACACTATTTTCAGGCAAGGAGAGTAAACAAACAGCTGGCTGACCATTTTGCTTGCCTGTGGGCACAAAAATGAAAAGGTTTGGCTCCAGACATTAGCATCTTAAGAGCTCTTGGCAAAAGAGACTTACCTGTGACTTTTAAGGATTTTTTTTTTGCATAGTTCCTTAGCATAACTCCCCAAAGACCCAAACTATTATTGGAAATCCCATTAGGGCTTTGCTTCCCCTGCCATCACCAAACTGCAAATCCCAGAATCCCATAGGATGGAGACATGACACTTTCAGTGTCATGTCTCCATCCTATGGGATCCTGGGATTTGCGGTTTGGTGACAGACTTCAATAGCACTTTGCTTACTTTTGTGCAATGCCCTGAAACTACTATTTCAAGATAGCCTGGTTCAATCTTCCATTCCCTTCCTTGGTACTTTGGGGACGATTAAAGGGGATGCATAAGAGCCTCTGCTTAATCTAGAGCGCTCTCAAGTCCCTTACAAAACTACAAATCCCTGCTTTTGATGGATGAAGGCACAGTGACAGTAAAGTGATAATGGAACAGCTTCTGTCTGCATAGAATGGATTTATCTGATGCAGCAAAGCAGAATCCTGGCACCTTAAAAGCTCATGCGACCGTCCTCTCGGGAAATCAAATTAATGCACTTTGCTCATCCTTGGGATTTTAATATTATTGATTTTTGCTAAAGACAAGCCTGTCCTTGCATATTCTTCCATCAGAAGTGTGGTTCATTGAGCCACTTGGTTTAGAGCACAAGTTTTACCCATTGGCTCCATGATCCAGGCTGATTTGTGTATGACATGAGTGATCTATATTTGGAGTTATACATATATGAGTGATCTATATTGGAGCCTCCGGTGGTGAATGGGTTTAATCGCTGAGCTGCTAAATTTGTTGACCGAAAGGTTGCAGGTTCAAATCCAGGGAGCGGCGTGAGCTTCCACTGTTAGCCCCAGCTTCTGCCAACCTAGCAGTTCAAAAACATGCAAATGTGAGTATCAATAGATACCGTTCCAGCGGGAAGGTAACGGTGCTCCATGCAGTCATGCTGGCCACATGACCTTGGAGGTATCTATGGACAACGCTAGCTCTTTGGCTTAGATATGGAGATGAGCACCAACCCCCAAAGTCGGACACGACTGGACTTTAATGTCAGGGGAAACCTTTACCTTTTTATATTCGGAGTAACCCATTAGCCACTGTTCTGGTACAGCTGTACCAGGAGCTCCAATTTTGTTTGCTTTGCATTGAATGTTTGTTTGCAGTCCTAAATTTCATGGACTCTGCAGATAGGTGGCTTCTTTTGGCTGCAGTCATAGGGCAAGCCACCTGCCCATCATCATTAAGTTTTGGTCCCGCCCCTTGCTCAGGGTAATTGGGAAGGGAAGGGAGCCATTTTTTAGTTAGTCTCAGCAAGGTTAACCAATGTACAGGACGTGTGTAAACTTCCCCTGTACAAAAGCTTTAACCTTTAAGAATTTCCAGGGAAGCATCCCCACAGCTTTGAGAATTTCCAGGAAAACAGCCCTAAAGACCAAGGAACTCCAGCTGGAGAACATCTACTGCCTTGCTGGTAGGTCCACTCGGCGTTCGAGACGCAGTTTGACCCGGTAGCGGAGCCCACATCAGTTACATTACAGTCAGCCTGGGAGAAGTTAAAAAAGGGGATTTTCCTTTAAAGAAGAAATTATTGAAGACAGTTGCCTGTCTTTCGTGGGCAAGATTAGGAATTCACCAGTTACCTAAAATCATGGAATCATTTGCTTAATTTTATTGAAGACAAGAGAAGTTTCTGTTTGATTGTTCATTAATAAAATACTTCGTTGTACTTCTTAAGCCATCTAAAGACTGTTTGTGGTGGAAACCTCTGAGAACTTCTCTTTGGGCCCCCATGGCTTTCCGTTGGGCAAAGGTTGCACGTCCTATTTTAAAGACAACTATTTACAGGCCAAGCGCGCGACAGAACAGCCACACTGTGCCATTCCTGCAGTGCTAGCTGTCATTTAACTGTCAACGGTCCATCTTGTGGAATCCTGGGATTTGTAGTTTGGCAAAGCTCATTTATAATAATAATAATAAAAACTTTATTTATATACTGCTCCATCTCCTCGAGGGGACTCAGAGCGGTTCCCAAAACATACAAAGTAAAAAACAACATAACCATAAGATTAACAAAACAAAATCTAAACATAAAAATTGTCGCCATAACACACATATTAAAAGAATCCTGCCTGTTCAAGGCAATTAACATTTTTTAAAAGGCCGGGCCAAGATTTGTGCAAGCCCAAAAATTCTAGGGCCCCCAGGAATTAAGTACAATGCTATGGCAGGCAACAATAATATTAGGTACGGGTCTGTGGCTGTTCATTCCGGGGCCGATTAGAGGAAAGAATCTGGGTAATTGGGAGGAAGAATAAGGCCGTATTTGACAAAGTGTAGGGCTGAGTTAGAACTAGTCATTTTCAAAGGCTTGTTGAAACCACCAGGTCTTCAAGCTCTTACGAAAGGAGAGGAGGGATGAGGCCTGTCTTATTTCCCTTGGAAGGGTGTTCCAGAGGTGGGGGGCCACCACTAAGAAGGCCCTCTCTCTCATCCCCACCAACCGTGCTTGAGACGGTAGTGGGACCGAGAGGAGGGCCTCCCCAGAAGATCTTAGCGCTTGCGCCGGTTCATAGAAGGAGATGCGATCGCGGAGATAGGCGGGGCTCGAACTTTCCCATGTTATTTGTGCATGCTTTGCCCATCCTAAATGGAGCACAGACAGGCAAACTTGGTCCTTTGAGAGCTTGGAAAATAGGTCTCCTAATACCCCAGGATGAACATTGTAGAACTTATGAAGGTCTGTCTTTCCTAATTTCAGATGTATTTGTTTTAGTAGGTCTATTTGAGGCATAATTTAATCCGGATCTGTTGTAGATTGGGTGTCCCTCTGAGGCTTCACAATTCTTCCTTCTGCCACTACTAACAAAAACTAGATTTAGGTCTGAAATCCACCATCTGAACCAGAGAGAGAACATATGCATGCAATATTATAATAAAAAGTTATATCAAGATGGAGAGAAAGACAATAACTAAGATGAAGACTGAGACTCAATTGAGGATTGGTGAGGTACAAATTTCTCCCAGTGTGTTTTATGGCAGCTGCTGGGTATTGAGATGTCCCCAGTTATACTAACTTATATCTCCTAATGTGATGTGCCTTCAGCTTTCTGATGTGTGGGACCAACAAGGCTTTACACCAAAGTCCTTGCAGCTTATTTGTGCCGCTTGACTACATAACCAATGCCTCTCTTTCCCTGGACTGGCAGTCACTCGTACCTCATACTGGAGCTGGTCTACGGACAACTACTTGGCCTAGAATCTGATGAGATTCAGGCCAAAACGCAGAGGACTTGATCTGGGAAACAGCCAAAGCGAAGTGCAACAAACAGCTTGTTCTCAGTCTGCATCTTCATACTGGACAGAAATATCAGAGTGAATGGGGTGTTGCCGAATGTGATGATGCTGGGCATGGAAATTTATTTATTTACTGTATTTGTATACCGCCTTTCTCAGCCCGTAGGCAACTCAAGGCGGTTAACAGGGCAAAATTCAATGCTTACAATGTCATAAATACACTTAAACACATAACATATAATAAAAACTAAACAAATCAATAAATTATAAATTCATAGTGTCTCCTTGTTAAAAACATCCGGCCTCATTGTCTAGTCGTTCCATTTTCCTATGTCAGTTACTCTGCATTTGCAAATGCTTATTCAAAAAGCCACATTGTTCCAGAATGTTAAAAGGGAGGTGGCTGATCTAATATCTATAGGGAGGGTGTTCCACAGCTGAGGGGCCACCACCGAGAAGGCCCTGTCTCTCGTCTCCGCCAAACGTACTTGTGACGAAGGCGGTAACGAGAGCAGGGCCACCCCAGATGATCTTAAGGTCCTAGATGGTTCATAAGGGGAGATGCGTTCAGACACATAAGTTAGGCAAGAACCGTTTAGGGCTAAGGCCAGCAGTTTGAATTTTGCCCGGTAGCAAACTGGCAGCCAGTGGAGCTGGAGCAACAGAGGAGTTGCATGCTCCCTGAGCACCACTCATGTTAGCAATCTGGCTGCCATTTGTTGGACCATTTGAAGCTTCCGGACAGTCTTCAAAGGTAACCCCACGTAGAGCACGTTGCAGTAGTCTATACGGGATGTACTGTGGCCAAGTCAGACTTCCTAAGGTACGGGCGCAGCTGAAGCACAAGTTTTAACATCTTTGGGATGGGTACAGCTGCACCCATCAAGATTGTTTTGGTTTTGCTCCTTGACTTCAAGGAGAATGAATCACAGAATCAGAGTTGGGAGAGACCGCAACGGCCTTCCAGTCGAAACCCTGCAACATTCACAAAGTTCCTGTTCAATGCCATGATACCTACCCTGCTACTCCCCCTTAGCCTTGGTGTAATTTAGCATTGTTTCTTTTACTGGAGCTCCCAGTGGTGCAGTGGGTTAAACTGCTGATCTGCTGAACTTGCTGACCAAAGATCAGCTGTTCAAATCCGGGGAGTGGGGTGGGCTCCCACTGATAGCCCCAGCTTCTGTCAACCTAGCAGTTTGAAAAATGCAAATGTGATTAGATCAATAGGTACCGCTTCTACGGGAAGAGAACAGCGCTGCATGCAGTCATGTTGGCCACATGACCTTGGAGGCATCTACGGACAATGTGAGCTTCCGCTGTTAGCCCCAGCTTCTGCTAACCTAGCAGTTCAAAAACATGGAAATGTGAGTATCAATAGATACTGTTCTGGCAGGAAGGTAACGGTGCTCCATGCAGTCATGCTGGCCACATGACCTTGGAGGTGTCTATGGACAATGCTGGCTCTTTGGCTTAGAAATGGAGATGAGCACCAACCCCCAGTCAGACACGACTAGACTTAATGTCAGGGGAAACCTTTACCTTTACTTCTTTTACTGTATATTTGCAACCACCCTGTCTGTGGCACATTCTCCTCCTTTACACTGTCAAGGAAGAGAAACTGAGATGGAGAGAGTGAATTGCCCAATGTTACGACATGAGTCTGTTGCAGACAAAAGAAGAACACATCTCTGCCAAACCTGAATCTGGTGGCACTTCTCCTTGAAGGAGTATAGTTTACTGAGGGACGTGTGACCCAGTTGCAGCAACAACATGGGCCAAAGTGAGAAGATCCAGCACTCTCGGGAAAGCCCTGCATCCTATGGAGAGTCCCATCCCCAAAATGTGCCCAGTTGGCGCCCACCTGCTTACTAACTGACCAGTAAGGCCTTTAGGCCGGCCAGCTCGGCTCTCCTGCTAAGGGCTCACTTGCCGGCATCGGATACTATACCTTTGAAGCCTTTGTCCATAATGTATGTGTTCTGGCGTCTATTCATCCCACAAGTACCTGCACAAAAATGATATACAACGGAAAATGCATAAATATCTTTATGCAAACTGGATGAAAGACCTTTCCCCCTCTGCTTACTGGGATCCCATAGGGTCGGGGGCAAGCTCAGGCCCCTCCGCTGCTCAAGCAACGGGAGCTTATGGGGAAACCGCATTGGGCTGTTTCCAGGGAAAGCTGACTTGTTTACAGACTGAGAAGTCTTGGCTTCTCCAAGAGCCACTAAATGCCATCAATTGCACTCATAACTAAATAATAAATCTATGCTGTACTCTACTACTTTGGTGTTGTTTCTTTGCGTCCGCAAATGCAGGAAGGTGTTTCAGTCCCACATATTGAAGCAGGCTTGCCTCTGCCAAAGCCGGCATCGACCAAAAGGTTTTGGAAACAGATTCTGTGCCTCCACGCAACTTACAATTTAGCCTCAGTAAGGAGAGGCCAGGCCCATTTGCAGCCACATGCAAGACCTTAGTATGGTGCAGAATAGAGCACTGGAAGTCTCAATATTTTATTGAGAATATTTTATTGGGTCTTTGCAAAAATATAGAAGTATACATTTCTAGGCATCATAGACCAGGTTGAAATCTCAGAAAGCAGAGGGGGAACTGAGCAGCTTCAACTGTGAGAGATGCAAAGAGAAGAGCGAGAATTTGCATTTGCATTTTCCTGTTGTTCTGCAAGGTGCAATCCTTCCCTCTTAAAACAAACCAGAAGCATAAAAGTAAGATAATTTGCACTTTCCTCAGTCTCCGTACACCTAAGCCAGGCTTGGGCAAACTTGGGCCCTCAATTGGGCTTGCGACTTCCCAAGCACTGATTTACGAGGCCATAAAAATCTCCAAGAAGTATGCAAAGAATGAGGAAGCAACAGCTTCCCTGGTAGTCAGAAGCTGGAATGTTAAATAACCTCTGACTGTCTGTCTATATATGTTGTGTGTCTATGGCATTGAATGTTTGCCATGTATATGTACATTGTAATCCGCCCTGAGTCCCCTGCAGGGTGAGAAGGGCGGAATATAAATACTGTAAATAAATAAATAAATAAATTTCCAAATAGAGGCATCTAACACCTCCCAATAAAGGATTCCCGTGGGCAGCAACCAGCCAGGTTGTGAATCTGCAAGGCCATTCAATGCTAATCAAGGTGGCCAACATACACTCTTGCCTCAAGCAGACAAGAGTTCTTTCTCCCACCCTGGACATAATTCCACAGATATATAAACCCAATTTTAATAGTTTCCAACAGACCTCACAACCTCTGAGGGTGCCTGCCATAGATGTGGGTGAAACGTCAGGAGAGAATGCTTCTGGAACATTGCCAGACAGCCAGGAAAACTCACAGTAACTCATTACTGTATATGTACCCTCATTTTGGCAAGGTAATTTAGCCCCCAAAAAGTGAGCATTAGTTTCAAGTAAATATGGTCTTCTGATTCTAGTATGTCACTAGAAATAAGTGCAATGTATTGAAAGAGAAGAGAAGCAAATACGGTTGATGCACCTGGTATTCTGGACACTAAGGGCCCTTCTACATAGCTTTATAACCCAGAATATCAAGTCAGATAATCTACAATATCTGAAACCATATTTCCATATAATCCAGTTCAATGTGAGTTTTATACAGCTGTGTGAAAGGAGCCCAACACAGATATGCAGTAGTCTTGGGACCCCTTGATACTACACCATTATAGCACTATGATTCTAATTCAACTGCCATGACAATTACCTTGGGATTTGCAGCTTCGGATAGACTATTGAGACTTTCCTGCCAAATGCCTCACCAAACTGCAAGCCCCAGAAATGCATACAGAGTAGCTGAAGTGCTACCAAAGCGTGCTGCGTGAAAGTGCCTCTGTTGTGACTGGGGTCCAACATTATGGGACAGCAAATATAAAAATACTAGCCGTTCCCTGCTAGTAATTTTTTTTATTTTTTTTTGTTTTTAAAATCTCTTCTGCTGTGTTTTTCACTGTTTTTATGAGTGATGGTCACTTGTTGGCCTAACAGGTGTATTGTGTTCAAATTTGGTGTAATTTCATCCAGTGGTTTTTGAGTTATGTTAATCCCACAATTGAACACTACATTTTTATTTATATAGACTAGCCGTCCCCTGCCACCTGTTGCTGTGGCCCACTCTGGTGGTCATGGGGGTTCTGTGTGGAAGGTTTGGCCCAATTCTATTGTTGGTCGGGTTCAGAATGCTCTGTGATTGTAGGTGAACTACAAATCCCAGCAACCATAACTCCCAAATGTCAAGATTCTATTTTCCCCAAACTCCACCAGTGTTCACGTTTGGCCATATTGAGTATTCGTATAGAGTTTGGCCCATTGTTTGAGTCCACAGTGCTTTCTGGATGTAGGTGAACTACAACTCCAAAACCAAAGGACACTGCCCACCAAACCCTTCCAGTATTTTCTGTTGGTCATGGGAGAACTGTGTGCCATGTTTGGTTCAATTCCATTGTTGGTGGAGATTAGAATGCTCTTTAATTGTAGGTGAACTATAAATCCCAGCAATTACAACTCCCAAATGACAAAATCATTTTTTTGAGTGAAAGACATACATTGGGTTGTTAGGTGTCTTGTGTCCAAATTTGGTGTCAATTCGTCCAGTGGTTTTTGAGTTCTGTTAATCCCACAAACACTACATTTTAATTTATATTTTATTTATATAGACTAGCACGCTTTGCTGTGGCCAACCTTCCCTCTTTCTCTCCTTTGTTCCCTCCTTCCTTCCTTCCCTCTTTCCTTCCTTCCTTCCTTCCTTCCTTCCTTCCTTCCTTCCTTCCTTCCTTCCTTCCTTCCTTCCTTCCTGTCTTTCCTTCTCTTCTTCCTTCCTTCTCTCTTTCCTCCCCATTTTCTTTCTCTTCTGCTGTCCCTCTATTCTTCCTTCTCTCTTTCCTTCTTTCCTTCCCTCCCTCTTTCTCTACATTCCCCCTTCTTTCCCTTTTTTCTTTCCTTCTCTCCTTCCTTCCTTCTCTAACTTTCCTTCCTTCCCCCTTTTTCTTTCCCTCCCTCTTTCTCCCCTTTCTTCCTTCTCTACCTCTTTCCTTCCTTCCTTCTCTCTTTGCTTCCATACTTCCTTCTCTCTTTCCTTCCTTCTTTCTTTCCCTCCTTCTTTCTTTTCTTTCTTTTCTCCCCTTCCCTCCCTCTTTCTTCCCTTTTTTCTGTATTGTCATTTAGCTTTTCGTCATTTAGCTTTTTTGGGCTTTTTAAGTCCCTTCTGCTGTGTTTTCAGTATTTTTTGGAGTGAAGGACATACAATGGGTTGTTCGGTGTCTTGTGTCCACATTTGGTGTCAATTCCCCAAGGGGTTTTTGAGTTCTGTTAATCCCACAAACGAACATTACATTTTTAATTATTTAGATAGATGCTCTCTGTAGACTGTAATGCACAGTGTTGTTCCTTCCTTTTCTGTCCTGACCATTCTGTGGTAATGTCTATGTCCTGCCACTAGATGGCACTGCAAGCACCATCTGCTATCCCTTGAAGGTCTGGTGTCACATTCAAACAAAGTTCTGGTTGACATTAAGGCTTCGCAGTAAAGAGACCTAAAAGCATATGCTTCCATTCTCGCTGTACAATACGGCAACAGAAACACCAAGTCCTCCTTCTCCAGATAGAGCTGAAGAGCAGACTTAAGGATGGTTTTGAGGGGGTTGCATTGAGAAGTGTCTTCGTACAAGAGAAAAGCACAGTGTGTTCTACGGAAAAACAGCGAATCGTTATAAAACAAAAGCTACATCAATCTGGAAGATGGGGAAATGTACCAAAATGGAGACGGGGAGGTTCACTGTGATGGACTGGAATGCAATTCATTGGGACACAGAAACAAACCCAACCGGATCTTTGCAAAAATGTAGAAGAACCCAGAACCGTTCTAGGTTCCCCTTCAGAGGATGGAATGCTTGAAATGTACTGACCTAGATCACTGAGATAGCTGTAGGCCCTCCAGTCTGCAGTGTCTCTGTCAAGGGTTTTGTTACTGCGCTGTTCAAAGAGGCACGACAGCAAGGAGTTAGAGGCAAAGCAACCAAAGGAGCCCCACCGAGGAACGACGAGGAGGAGGGGCTGGCTCTCAATGCAGGCAGATAGGGCTCAAAAGGGGGGCATTTTCCAATATGGGAGAAGGATATAGGACAGGCTGATGAAAGTGGGGCATGCAGGGAACCGAGCTTGCCTTCCAAGTCGAGCAAAGAAATCTAGGTGACGCAAGCTCTTTGGCTACAACCCAGAACAACACCGAAGACGTGGAAAGCGCCGTGTCACTATCACAAGGGACGCACCACTGTCATGCAGTCACACACTAATGGGGAAAGAAAGGGAAAGCCAATCGTGTCAACAGAGAAGAGTTTCCCCATTTCAAGGAACCTTCGAGGAGAATAAGGGAGTCCGCACAGTCCTTAGCCTTCACA